TCCGGTTTCCCCCCTCGCCCTCCATCCCCCCTGTCAGGGTCCCGGTGGGGGCGGGGGGTTCCGCGCCCCTCACGCGTGTCCTTCCCAAATCCAGGCGGTCCCTGCTCTGTGTGTCCCCCCCCACCCTCCCCGCGCCCCTTCCAAAAAAAATGTCGTTTTTCCATCTAAATGTTGTGTTTTGCCGGTTCTGGAAGCCGCCGCCCGCTGCGGGTGAGGGGTGCGGGGCAGCCCCCCCGCCCCGGTCCGTCCCGGTGCCACCCTCCCGCTCCCCGCCGGCACCGGGCGCTCGTTTGATCGGCGGGGGCCGGTGGGTTTATGGGCACCATTTGGGACCTTTTACACTTCCATATGCAGATTCCGCATCTGCACTTGAATGTCCCTGTCCGGTTTCCCCCCTCGCCCTCCATCCCCCCTGTCAGGGTCCCGGTGGGGGCGGGGGGGTCCGCGCCCCTCACGCGTGTCCTTCCCAAATCCAGGCGGTCCCTGCTCTGTGTGTCCCCCCCCACCCTCCCCGCGCCCCTTCCAAAAAAAATGTCGTTTTTCCATCTAAATGTTGTGTTTTGCCGGTTCTGGAAGCCGCCGCCCGCTGCGGGTGAGGGGTGCGGGGCAGCCCCCCCGCCCCGGTCCGTCCCGGTGCCCCCCTCCCGCTCCCCGCCGGCACCGGGCGCTCGTTTGATCGGCGGGGGCCGGTGGGTTTATGGGCACCATTTGGGACCTTTTACACTTCCATATGCAGATTCCGCATCTGCACTTGAATGTCCCTGCCAATTTTTATGGTTTGCAATTGCATTTTACCATCCGAAGGTGCCCTTTGCTACAAAGGCTTCTCTCGCACAAAAGAGCCCTCTCCCCGCAGCATCCCGGGCACCGGCCCCGCACCCCCCGCGCTGGCATTTCGGAAATCACCCTGGAACCTAATTTTGAGCCGCGTCCCTTTGTGAGGCTGCTGGAAACACTTTATTCCTCTCTTAATGAGCTGTCCGGCTGAATGAAAGATACTCCCCATCCTTAATAATTTCTTAACTTTCTGACTTCGTTTGGGAAGCGTCTGTTCCTTTGGTGTCCTTAATGCAACAATATAAATACTTTTTATGTGTTTCCTATTTTTCCCCCAGAAATGTGGCATTCGGGGCGAATCTCCTTTGATTCATCAGATTAGTTTTAAGGATTAGTTGTGTGTCTCAGGCAGCTCTTTCATGTGATAGATGTTGTACCTGTGGCTGCAGTTAGTCTTTTGAATGGATGATGTAACGACCTTTTACTACTTTGCCTTAAAAAATGTGAAATACTGGCACGGTGTTGAGACACTGCTTGACCTTCGATCTTTCCAAAGCCTACAACAGCCTGGGGAGGAGCAGAAAAGATTGGCTTCTTACTCTTTTGGCTTATAAAATATCTGCAAATGGGAATGGAAATTGAAGAGTCTTAACATTTCCTGGTTTTAAGGGCGGCTCATAGCACCATTGATTCTGAGAAGTACAGCATCTTCCCTCTTCATGGAAACAGTTAAAACTGTATGACATACACAGGAGCTATAGATATGTATAGATACGTCTATAAAAGCAGGATTGTATTCTTGGTGGCAATGTTAAAATCATTAATGAACTTAAGCTCTGCACGTGGCTCTGCACTGTGTTAACCCCGAGCAAAATGCCACAAGTTTATTGGTGTCTTCAGTGGAAGAAGCCCCAGAATAACTTTGAAATGCAGCAATGTGGTTTAATTTCAGCAGTTACAATAAATTACAGCCTTGTTATTTGAGGGGACTTTTGACATTCTTAGAATACAAGATGATGGTTTTCCCTTACCAATTTGAGTACATCCTCTTCCATGTAAGAAATGTATTTTGTCATTGAGCAAATCAATGGCAATGACTAAAGTGAATTCTTTCAAAAAATCATTGAAATAGGGCATTCACTTTTCCTGCACTGCTAGCAAGGATTTCTCAACAGGGACCAATTTAAGACCAGTTTCCCTGTATCTTCAGTTGGCATCTTTTTCCTTTGTGAATGAAACATGATGGCTTTTACACCATTCTAATTATTTTATGTTTTAACTAAAATAGCAGTAAAGCAGGCTATCCAGAATTAGGGGACCTTTGGGCACTGCTGTGTGTATATGGTCTTGGAAGACAGATTTCTAAGTATCAGGAAACTGCTTTTGTGCTCCCTTAAAATTCTAGGAGTTTCAGATAGGCAGATTACTAATCTGGATGAATCTTGTACCAGAGAGAAAAGGAGAGCTGTAAGAGCACAGAGAATGTAGGGATTTCAAAGAAAAATGCCCCTGCTCGCATCCCTTACAGTGCTCTCAAACTTTACTGGCACACACTGACATTTTTAGTGGTTCTTTATGCTTGATTGCTTTGCATCTGATGAGATAAGCTTTCGCTTAACAAAGACTATTTCATTGATATAGTTAGGTCTTAGTTTACTTGCTATAAACATTTCTTTGAAGATTTAGGAAGGAAAAAACAAATTGAGTTGCTGAATGTCAACGCTGCTAAAGTCAAACGTCTGCATAAACAAGAAGCTACAGTGTTATTTTGGCTCGGTATTGGCCTGGTGGATGTGTCTGGCTCTCGCTTTAGTAAATAATACTAGACAATAGTAAATAATAGAATTCTGAGCTCTGAACTGTGATGGGA